CATTAAGTCTCAAATATTAAACCTGTGAATGAATGAATGAATAAATGAATTGAGTGTCATAGTTCTTAGTGATATGGATCTAATTAGACTTAAGAGTAGTCCCTTACTAACAATACTGAAACATTGATTCCTTTGGGATTCATGTGCTTTATTCTTCTGCAGCTCATCAAGAACTGTGTGAGTGCTGTCTATATCCTGAGCACTAGGTACTGTGGTAGATGGAAAAAGGAATAAAACTCACAACTTTTCCATCAAAGAACTCACAGCTTAGTGGGATGTGTGAAGCACATACATAATAATTATCTTTCTATATGTGCTTTTAGAGGTAAAAACATGCTGGAAGGAGTCAGTACCTTTTGGTTTACAGAATTAGAGGAGGTTTCATGGGCTTGGGGAGTATGGCTGCAGGGGAAGGCCATTTAAGACAGAGAACTATGTGAACCAAGGAAAGAAAATGGAAAAGTATAAGGTATGCTTAAGAATAGTCCAGACTTGCTAACTAAAAAGCTTATATGTAGATTCATGGTGGGAATTAAAGTTGGCCAGATTCAGTTAGGATCATATGATAAAGATACTGAATTCCAGACGTGGGTGTTTGTATTTAAATTAGCAGGCGTTGGGAAACCATTGATGGTTCTGAATGGCAGAGTGACATGATCAGAGCTTTTATTTATTTATTTTTTTATGGTAGGGCTTTTCAACAAGACAGATGCGAAGGATATCATTTACATAGCAGTAACCAGGATTCTCCATAATTCCTAACACTTTTCTGTCACTCCACTCCCTCTCCCACTCAAGAAAGCGTATTGGGAAATAGTTGAAGAACAGTAATATTAAATATCCAAGTCAACTTTCATTTATTTAAAAAAAGCACCTACAGATTTACTTAGTGATAGTTATAATTTGTGATACACTCTATAATGAATTGAGACACAGAACTGTGTGTTGTGATGGCAATTAAAAACCAAGGTTGAAGATAACATGGCAACACTATGAAGAATGGATCAAAGTGAGGAAATACTGGATGTAGTGAGAAAGAACAACTAATAAGCTATTAATTATTCCTGGAAAGTTTAAATCAGGTCTGAATTAGAGTTTGCAGTGGAAGTAAAAGAAGAGATAAAGTCTATAGGCCCTGCAATGTACTGGACACTGGTGATGAGTAAGTGAAAGCCTAGGATGAATTGGAAATTTCAAACTGGTGTATCCCATAATGTAGAAATAAGAATTGCCTTGAATTGGGGAAGGTAAAAAAATTTAATTCACTTTGGGCTCCTTAAATGCAGGTACCAGAACACATCTTACAGAATGCTTCTGTAAAGTTGGAAATTTAGGGCTCCTTCTCAAGAACATAGTGTAGATTTGCATCATCTGTAAATGGAATGTTTTTTTCTAAGACACTTCAAATAGGAGGCGGCACTCCCCACTCTATATGTGACTCCTCATTCGATTCTTAAGTATTCAAGTTATTACTTAATCCTTAAAATAATTAATGATTGAATTTCCATTTGCATGGTACCTTAAATTTTTCTGCTCCCTAAATGGTGGTAAAATGAATGTAAGGAATTAATGCATATTCTAGAAATAAGTGCCTCATTGAGAGGAAGTAAACGCATGGAACTTCTCTAGCTTAGTATAGAGGGGGCTGCTTCCGACTCTTTCCAAACCTCTTGTTTATTGATTATACGTTTATTTAATGAGAAATATGATTTCCTTACATATTGCAGGTGGGTGTTCTTCAGCCTTTTATATAATTTCAAGCATTTTTAAAAGTCTTAATTAAAAGACTTTTCAAGCTTTGACACCATATGATGTTTTCCATTTCTTGAAAGCTCTACTGTATTCTATTCTATACTTTAAGGCTTGTTGTCTGGACAGTTCAGGTGGAATTCGAGGGGTAGGAATTTGAGCTTATTTTTGGACCCTCAGTGTTTGTTGATAAAAATTGTATCAGTGGGTAGGCATTTTCTTCTATCTATGTCTAGACTTGTTTTTACAACTGGTGGAATGAGAAAAATGACTTATTTTCACTAGTTTGAAAAAGAAGTATAGAAGCATATTCATTGCATGATAAATATTAATGATAACAATTACACTGAAAGCTTTTGTCATTCAAGAAGCTCAGAATTGGAAATTAGATTCCAGCTATGCTTTATATTCAAGTCAGGGGCATTTAATGAACTCTATGTTATCCATGATCCTGGGTATAAGCAGAGGATGGTTACTTGAAATTAAAAATAATCTACCTTGGCTGTTAACATTGATACAATACTGAAGTTCTTCCTCCCTTTATATTTTTCTCAAAAGCTTATAAGGAAAATCTTAAAGTGAAAAAAGCAAACTGAATGAGTGAACAGGCTGTTAGGGGAGGAGGGGGGATGATGGTGAGAGGGTCGTTGGGGCAGGACCAAAGGGATTGCAGAGTTGCCTCACAATCTAAAAGATAAGAGTAATCAAGGATTGATGACACGTTGTTGCTTGATTTTGACAGAAATAATCC